TCCCTATGCAAAAATATGTCGATGTTCAATTTGCTAAGGATTGTTTTATGGCCAAAATTATGGTCAATTTTGGTGTATATTACATGTGCACTTGAAAAACCTGTATTCCGTAGTCGTTGGGTGAAGTATTTTACAAACCTCTATTAGGACAACCAGATTGCTAGTGTTGTTCAAATTTTCTCTACACGTAATTATTTCTGCCTACTTGTTCTTCGAGTTTTTGAAAGGAGAGTATTGAAACCTCTAGCTGTAGTCCTGGGTTTGCACGTTTATTCTCCATGCTCTATTAGCTATTACTTTCTGTATCTCATGCCATTTGAACCCGTTCGTTAGATACATAAACACTGAAGATTATGGGTTGGGAGCCAGCTGGATCCCACATGGCCAACCGTGCAGTTCAAGCCCTGGACACAATGGCTTGGGAAACATGTCCTTTGTCCCTGCATGCATGCCTAGAGTCCCAAAGGGAGGGAGACATGGTGTGAACAGCCCCATGGGAGGGGTGCTTTCCCATCCTCTTTCTCTCTTTCTCTATCTCTCTCTGACAAGTACTCATGCCCTCTGGCAAAAAGTTGAAAGAAAAAAATGTGCTGTGTCTTCTTGGTGGTATACCCTGTATCCCCTGGTGTTTCCGGTAGCGCCTTGTTCTGAAGCCTGCTTCATTTGAAACTACGACAGCCACTCCAGTTGCCTTACGGCTAGTGCATGCATGATTTCCTGCCCATCCCTTACTTTTTAAACGTTCTGTATCTTCTTCTATTGGTGGGCACCTTTTACAGTTGATATTTGGGTCTCTTGTATCCAATCTGACATTACCTGCTTTTTAATGAAAATGTTACACTATTGATATTTAGGTCATGATTTATATCGTTTGGCTTAGATTTACCATCTTGTTATTTGTTTTCTAGTTACCCCACCTGAGGCTTTTGTTCTTTTTCTGTCTTCTCTGACTTTCCTTAATTTGTGAAAGAAGAGTAATTTTTATGATCCTATCTTTTATCCTAGCCACTGCTGGGTTATAAGCTTTTCCTCTCCTTCCCTTTGTGCGTTTTTAGTGGTTGCTCCGTAGCTCACGATGCACATGTTAACTTATCACAGCTCACCTTCACGTGCGGAGTCAGGGACGTCAGCGCCCACGTCCCACTGCCTGTCCTCCGTGCCATTGTTACCACGCATTTCTTCATGTACCCCGCAAGGCACTACTGTTATTTTAGCTTGAACCACTTAATGATCTTTCCATGCAATTAAAAAAATGCAAAGGTATCTTTCATACCTACATATATATTCAGCATTTCTCTTCTTTCTTTTTCTTTCTTTCTCTCTCTCTTTTTTTTTTTTAAGAGAATTTTCTTGCTATAGGGTACATGCACTTGCCAGAGAGACAGAAAGCAAGAATCACCCTCCGGGGAGATGGCCATGCTGCAGTCCCTTCTCCTCCATTCTCCTCTCAGGATTTTGGGTACGCATGCACATGCGCCTGGCATGAGTTTTAAGCCGCTGCGTCCGGAACTCAAACTGTGGTAGAATAAGTGTTAGACAGACCAGCAATGTAACCACTATGCCATCTGCTGGTCCCCATATTCAGCATCGCTAGTGTTCTTTATTCCTTTGTGTAGATCTGAATATTACTTATCCTCCTGGCTGGAGAATTTCCTTTAGCGGTTCTCGTGGTACATGCCTACCCAGAAAGAACTTCTCTCTTTTGTCGTTGGTATGGAAAGGTCTGTTTTCATCTTATTTCTTTTCTGAAAGATATTTTAGGTGGTTGTATAATTTCAGGTTGTTTTTTTACTTTTTCAGCACTTCAAAGATGGTAAGCCGTTATCTCCTGGTTTTCATGGTTTCTGGTGGAGTCGTCTGCCATTCTTCCCTTCCCTTCTCTGTTAATCCAGCCGTGCACGTAGTAGACTGGTTGATATCGTCTGGCTGGCCACTGAAGTCATTTTCTTTTCTTTTCTTTTGTTTTTTTTTTCTTTTTTTGCTAGGTTTCTGCCATAGGGCACATATGCTCACTGGAGAGAGAGAGAGAAAGTGAGAACTCACCCCACAGGAGGGATGGCCATGCCACAGGCCCATCTCCTCCACTCTCCTCTTGGGATCTTGGGCACACGCGCCTGGCGTGATTTCCAAGCCGCCATGGGTGGGACTCAATCTGTGGTCAACCATGCTGGAGTGCAGCATCTCAACCACCACGCCACCTGCTGGCCCCTATTTTTCACTTTTGAAAAGATCTGTCATAGTGTGACTGTGCTGCTGTAACAAAATGCCACAGGCTCAGTAATTTATGAGGAAAAAATCTTTCCCCTTCCAGTTCTGGGGGCCAGTAGTCTAGGAACAAGGCACTCATACTGGTACCTGGTGAGGGCTGCATCCTTGGAGAGGAGGGACACATGTCCTCACGTGACAGAAGAGCAGAAGAGCGAGCTAGCTGAAAGCTGCAGGAAGCCTCTTTCATGAGGGCCTAATCCCATTCACAAAGGAGGAGCCTTCATGGTCCCGCCACTCAAAGCCCCACTGCTTAATACTGTCACATCGGCAGCACCCAGACTGTGAGGGCCTCATTAAAACCTTGGCACCGGGTTTTCATTTCCCGAGCTCCTTTCAAACAGTGTTTTACTGCTGTATCTTCAAGTGCTGTTATTTTTCCTCCTGCATTGTCTACTCTGCTTTCGATCACACCCAATTTATTTCATTATACTGATTTTCCATGCCTAGTGTTCTAATTGTGCCTTTTTAATATCTCCCATCCTCTCCTCATAATGTTTATATTTTTATTTACCTTCTTGAGTGTGTGTGCGTATATATAAATATATGCATTATGTATGTGTGTGTATGTATATGTACGAGAACATGTCACAAAGTTCGTGGGAAAATGAGATTAAAGTACAAGTTTATTCTGGGGCAAAAAGAATTGAAAATCTATGCAGTTTTTTCCTAGTGCAAATTTTCCATCAACTCTTTGAAGAGTCAGATTCCATCTTTCTATAATTCCTGAATCTCTTCCTATTGGTCCCCGGTGTGCCTCTAACTTTCCTATTTCCTAGCCTGCACGTTTTTTATGACGCTAGATTCTGTCGCCGTTACATCGCCGAATGCCGCACCTCCTTGAGTTCCTCTACAAGGTTTTGGGATTTGCTCTGACAAGCAGTGAAATTCCTTGTGATCACACTGGTTCTTTTAAGCCTTACTTTTAAGTTGTGTGCACGAGGATCTGGAATGGGTTTTAGACTAAAGCTAACATTTAGTTCCCATCCTAGGGCAACACCCTTCCGAGGACTTCGGTCAACACCCCTGTATTACGAGGTCTGTTCTCTCTGTCTGGTGAGAGCATTCATTAATTCCAGCCCTTTGTGAGAGCTATGAAAGGCTGGAGGACATCCTTCTCTTGGTTCTCTTCCTAACCTGGTGGCTTTTCTCCACACCCACCCACCAACACACATGGAAGCACTGAGAGTTTGGGGCCACGTTACCGATTTCTGAATCTCTCTCCCTCTCTGTGTGTCTGCGAGCAGGGAGGATCTGCCCTGAAAACCCCTGATCCAGCTGATCCTCTTTCCAACACATTCCAAACTCTCTTGCCTCAGGCCTCATTTCCTGCTTCTCATTACAGCCTTGAGAGTGACCACCGGCTCTGGCTAAGGCCAGAGCACCAGGACTAGCAGATGGCATAACAGTGACATTGCCGGACACCCACATGGTCAACCGCAGTTCAAGTCTTGGACGCGGTGGCTTCAAACTCACGCCATGGACGTGTGCGTATGCCCAAAATCCCAAGAGGAGACTGGAGGAGAAAGGATTGCAGTGTGGCCATCCCCCCACCCCCGGGGGTGATTTTTCTCTTTCTGTCTCCTCTCTGGCAACCACATGTGCCCTATACCAAACTCTTTTTATTTATTTATTTATTTTTTATCATCATATCTTCTTCATATTACATTGGATTACATATAACTTTACTGTGTATTACATTGTTTCTTCAAAAGGGAATGCCATGCACGTCAGTCAGTACAGAGACATTAATCTCCCCACTTCAACATTCCATATCTTTTCAGTTTTCCCCAATCATTATCTTTATTATTCTAATTATTTTTATAAAACAGTCAATTGCTATTTCTCGTTTTGCTTGTAAAAATACTTTGCCCATCATGAAACACTTCTCAGACCAATCCAGTTGAGAATTCTATACATGTCATCATCAACAGTTAATAAACCCTATCTGTTTCTCACTGACGTCCTGTCTCTCTATTGCTCACTTGCTATCTTTCTCTATCCTCTTCTCTTCACTTACCCCATTCCACACTGTCCTATTCTCATTAAGTACCTTCACTTCAAGAATGGTAGAGTAGTTCCTGTTCTTCCCTGAGGCAATGCAGGGCTGGTAACCATCATCTTCTCAAGTTGCAAGTTCTCAGACCTTGTTTTCCGCTTCAGCTTGCAGGTCCAAAGGCCACACGCCGGCCCTGGAGAGGCAGCTGAAC